ATAAATCTCATCCTGTGGTCCATGGAAAAGTTGTATAATTATGGACAGGAAGCAGCAGCATAGTGTATAATATAACCTCTATCAATAAATCTCATCCTGTGGTCCATGGAAAAGTTGTATAATTATGGACAGGAAGCAGCAGCATAGTGTATAATATAACCTCTATCAATAAATCTCATCCTGTGGTCCATGGAAAAGTTGTATAATTATGGACAGGAAGCAGCAGCATAGTGTATAATATAACCTCTATCAGTAAATCTCATCCTGTGGCCCATGGAAAAGCTGTATAATTATAGACAGGAAGCAGCAGCATAGTGTATAATATAACCTCTATCAGTAAATCTCATCCTGTAGTCCATGGAAAAGCTGTATAATTATGGACAGGAAGCAGCAGCATAGTGTATAATAATGCTTGGAAATGGCTTGAATGGGTAATGAAGAAAAGCTTTAATATAAGTTTAACATAACAGCAATCTTCAAACTGAAATAGCTTTACAAATAAGTGTGCTGTCTAGATCCAGATTAGTGAAATGAAACATTTTTCATCCTTATGTAATGTGTTTTTATTGTACATTGTCTTAGTCTACTGTTGATATCTAAATTTTTCTCCAGTTATATATACATAATACTGTAATTGACTTTAAGAGCAGTTGAGTAATAAAATTATATGTATGCTTGAAATAATACTAGAAGCTCTGCACACTGTAAATCTTTTCAATCCATGTGTATTTTTAGGAGTGAACATCTTTATGAGTACAAATTACCATATTATAAAGTGAAGATAAAGTTTTTATTTATAATGTAGGAACTGAATGAAAAATCTAAACGTAAGACTTCAGATGTTCTCCCCCCATCACGGGAGCTTCTGATTCATTGCCATGGAGGAGGATTTATTGCTCAGTCTCCAGAAGCTCACGAGGTAAGTTTTTTTTTGAAGATGTAAAATTAGAAGATTAAGCTTTAAATCATATATTCAGGTTCTGCTTGTTCCGAAAACATAACATTTTGAAAAACAAGTTCACGTACCTGTATATGTTACGTATGTGTCCTTTTTTTTCATGCTTTATAAATATATAGATGATATGACAAGTGGTTTAAAACATCCATTTTGTTTATGCTACATTTTAAACATTAATTAATGAAATAATCAAAACTAGACTTAAAACTAAACCTAGAATATACTGATGCAAGTTAGTACAATTTTATGTAGCTATAGATATTTCAAAACATTGAGAAAATTTTGAAACTTAAATAGTTGAAGATAACTATTATGTAAACTAGTGACATAAAACCGGAATCCTTGGTTGAGGTAACTATTAGATAAAAGCCACAGGAAAACTATGTCTGTTTTGTATGTTTCTTTGAAAACTTGTAAAGTTCTGACTTAGGTTTTATAGCCATTGTTTACTGACAGTTATTTAAAAAAAAAACATACCCACAAAAGTGATATACACATAAGAATAAATAAACTAAAAAATAAACAGTTTAAAAAGCTTTTATTAACTAGTGACATTTCAAGTAAACACACATTATCAAGTCTTCATTAAGCCTATTGGTACATCAGTTGCCTTCTTAAACTGTTCTGAATGTGGTACATTGCACAAGGCAGAATCACAAGATTTCATCAGTAAAGCTACATGAAATAAAACAGTGCTAAAAGGAAAAAAAAAAAATGTATTTTGAAAGGAGATATTAGTATCATGAGATGAATATATATATCTATATTAATGTAGTAAGATAAATCAAAGCAATTTAATTAATTGAAGTTATCATCAGGAAAGAATGCTTATATACAGCACTTCCTACCCTGTGATGATTAAAGTTATGTAAACTAAGAAAAACAGGCCTAAAATACAACAGAATGGACAATAGATAACAATAACAACAACTTACAAATTGTAGGTATACCTCAGCTACCAGATATAATTTCACTTTGCATGCTCCAACTGTTGAAAAAAAAAAAATGGGGATGTTCAACTCCATCTACTGTTTGCCACCTTTCAGTATCGGCAGCTGGTCACGTGAATGTGGTTGCTTAGAAAAAGAAGAAACGTAACCAGCAGGTTACTAAAAACCTGTATTTGAATCTCGTTATTCAGATATGGATATCGAAATTTCTAATGATCCTTGCAATATTAATATTTTATGGTAAAAAAAAGGGATTTTATGGACTTTCCTTAAATATTCCTTTAGCCTTATGTAAAAATATTATTGTATCACAATTGCTAATGTTTTGATGAATTGCAGTAAATATAATAATGTTTAAAAAATGTTCACTTTTAATATTTTACTTTTTATTAAAATACAAATTTTTTTTAAGTTTTAACAGAAAAACATAAAATTGTAACTGAAATAATTTATAATTATAATTTTATTTTTATACTTTTATTG